CCGTCGGATGGGGTGTATCTAGTAGCCCTTGTATGTAATGGTATTTCAGAGCAAAGTAAGCTACCTGAAGCTAGGTACCTACCCGTCCACTACCTACCTTGCCTTGTAACAGTGTTTGCCATGTAAGGTAGGTAAGGATCGTTACCACTCAGAGCCCATTCATAATGATGCAATAGCAGCAACACCATCGTGAGAGTTGTTCTGTTCGGTAGAGCTCGAAATTGCGGAACACGAATCTGTACCTAGCAGGAGCAATTGGAGCGTAGCGCGGCTGCGCCATTCTCAGTTGCCCAATGTCTTCCAACTAGGTACCGAGATGTCTCGCCTTAGTGGCTTATTATTCCATGTTTATTACGGTTATTAGATGGGCGTAATTAAAAGATGCGCTAATAAGGTAGTACGGTATTCCCAAGTGAGGATGGGTAGAATACTGAGGCGCATTCAGCGATGAGGCTTGGGTGTCTTGAATCTCGCAGATCAGGCCCGGCCATGGTTCAGAAAGTACGACGAAGTGACGGCTAATTTTAGAAGTAAATTTGGATATTGGACTTCCAGGGAACTAGCAGAGAATCCTTCAATTTGTTAATTAGATAGCACATGAGTATTGAATTGAGTTGAAACAGGGGTAAAGGGGCAACTAAATAGTTCATTCGTGGGAGGAGTCGGAATACACTGATATGGAGACACTTGGTTTCCAGAACCTTTAGACAATAGGGAATTTCCTGAACCAGGAGTGAGTACAAAATGTGGACCTACTTCCAAGCATAGGGTCCTCACTCCTGGTAGTCTTTTATCACTTATAAGAGGTAGAGTAGCGTACGAACAATTATCTCATTATAGATATGTTAGCTCTCCCTTTGTAGGAGTCGAAGTCATGGCTCTAGTTGGTATGGTATTCAGCACTTGGAATGGAAGTCTATTGTCTCCACTAGTAGATTTAAGAGGTAGAGAGGTACTTCTTTACTGGAAATCTTGATGTGTCGACTTTGCTCAGAGTGCCTGATTCATATAGGACCCACCAATGATCGACCTTCCAGCCAGCCATCTCCTCAGTTCTGGAAGAGAGAGATAACCTCACTTATTGAGAGTTAGACTAGGTACCTTACGCATTGAAAAGCAGATGTTCTCACTGCAATTCAGTGATAAACCTGGCGAGGGCCTGCATTTTCTAGTTCGTGGTCGGTACATACTATATTCATCATGGTAGCGCTACGTGCTCTAAACTGTCCACAAACTCCGGTAAATTTCACTGTGATTTACAATGTGAATCACATAGCCTACCCCTCTATCTACGAGGAGATTGCGTCCAACCGTACTGTTCAGTATATCGCAGTGACAAAACTGAGCTGAGCTGTGCTGTCTAACCCGGGCCTCGTCCATTCCTGAGTCACTTCCTCTCTTTCCTTGAGCGCTTTTACCGCTAGCCAACTAAGTGACTGCGGAAGTTGAGGCCGAGAAACACGTGGACGACCGTCTCGCAAACGAATAATACGAAGAGCAACGCTGTCTGTTATGTTACGTAGGATAAGGCATACTGGAGAATTCCAAAGATGTGACAAGTTTTGGCCTGTATCTATGGCCAGACTTACTCCTTGTAAGGCGATCGCCGACTGTCATGGAGAAACCTGATTCGGGGCCCTAGCTCATTCCCTGGTGACAGATTCTTCGGGAGTAGTCTAATCGGTATTACAATTTCCTACCTCCTTGACTGGCGCAAAACAAACGACATAGGAGTCTACGGTAGACAGGCCCAACTCCGTACAGCGCATCGAATCCTGTCATTGTTACTAGAAAGTGCGTGTTCTGCTATTACATGACCACTATTTGCGAGGTTACAAGGTGTCAGGTATCGATGACTAAGCTCCACTTCCAACTTCCACTGCCTTTCCCCCTCTGGGTGTCCGATTCGTTGTCTCAGTCATTCCAACAGGTAGGTTGAACCTAGTGGTATCGGAAATGCAGCTGCCGAAATTGGTTCCCAGCGTCAGGCAAGAAATCCATCTCGCAGCTGATATTGTGCGCCTCAAACGCTTCATTGCAAGGATAGTAGATATACCCATACGAATCAACGGGGCGGTCCTGTCCAACGACTGTAGATCGCCTCAACCTACCATAAGTACCTTCGTCGTTCGGTAGATAATAATCTCCATTCGTACACAACGTCCGCAACCCCAGAAGCTGATGCTGTTCCACCAAAAGGTTGTAGACAGTAGTGATCACAAGCAGAATGACCAAGGGAACACCTCCCAGCCAATGGAACTGCTAGTGCAGAGCCACTATCAGGTTGGTCTGTTTCGGTTAGATCCCGGCCGGCTATTGGGGATCGGATCATTGCACATCATCATTATTTCTAATATGGTTGATACACGCTACATTGCCTTATGTATGTGCATTTTCGTTGTCGTCCAATTGCATATTTGTTTGCAGGCATAGAAAATTGAGTGGGAAACAAGAAGTACATTTTTGTGGCTGTCGAAGCACGCTCACCAAAGTACATACTCGGAGTTCCCTTGCATTCCATTACCTTATCCTGGACTTGTGGGGAAGTGATGTCGCGCGAGTTGTAGTAATGATCTGTAGTGTCAAGTAATACAGAGGAGCGAGAGAGAAACAGGGAGAGACCGAGAGACTGAGGGAGCAAAGGTCGAGACTCGCCGTTGGTATGGACGGGTGATCTACGGAGTACCATCAAGCTGAACCAGCCCTTCGATGCTGATCGCGGTACCCTTTGGTTTTCTACTAGGCAGAATCGCGAATCACACGGAGGTCAGGAGTTCACTGTCAGCAGCAGAAGTGATGTAACTGCTTTGACTTACCAATCTCCAGAATCAATCATCAGAGGATTTCCTGGTTTCTCATAGTCAGACAGCCTGGACTGACTTCTTCTTGGATCGTTAAGTCGATACAATAATGATATCTCTTGTCTCACCTAGTATCCTTAAGGTATACACACAAAGTCAGAATCATGCATGAATTCTTCAGGTAATATTGCCTCATTTAATAAAGTTTCTCTGGTTGATTTCCCCTCTCGAACTGCGTCTGTATTACTTTACCAAGAGTGATTGATGGAAGTCAAATTTTCTCCGGTCCATGGCCACACTGTACCTACCGATCCTGTACTCCGCTTCGTATTCTCTCCTCGGCATACGGAAACTGCCCTTCCTGGTCAGAAGACTGGAAGAACGGAATGAAGAACGTAGACTATCTTATCTGCTCAATTACTTCCTTACTAGACATTCTGCAGTCTATAATAATATGAATCAAATGAGATGACGAAGAGAATGATCCATCAAGGATCGATAGATGGATAAATGATTGTTACTGGAAGATTAGGAGCAAATGGTGGATCCATTCTTGTCACCCAGTGATCCTGGTTGTGGTGGGGGCCACAAGCGGGCATGGCCATGGCGTAAGGATAGCGTCCGTAGCGTTGTCCAGACAAGCAGTTCCGTCATCCGTAATTTATTCAGCCCAGCTTTACGCTGTTTGGAATGGTACTGCGTATCCATACACAATACAGATTACCTTAAGGTACCTTAGTAGCTTAGGTTTACCTCATACGCATTGTTCCAAGGCGTCAAAGCCACTTTGACGCTGACAAAAGAAATGGACAAAAATAGAAACATAAAGAAGGAAGAGATTCAGTCAATAGAATATAGGCACTATGAAAAATTGAAAGGGATAGCTTTATATCACAAAATAGAAGCAGAAACTGTTAGAAGTAACCATAATGATTAGCAATCAATTATTTACTACTCAAGAACAGCAGGTACCTTAGGTGGTTAAATGGAGGTAACATTACATACCATGGCGTATCTCCCTTACGCAGATTATCCTCTGTACAGCCATCTAAATGTAAACCTCCAGGCTGACCAACAATCCCATCTACCCAAACTGCCCTACCATCTGTTTAATTATCTCTGAACGAGTCGTGTGGAGTACACCAATCATGACTAGTGAATCCGTTATTACAGTGACCATTTTTTCCCTCTTACTATCATCAGACCAAAGGTACCATCATTTCCCGTGCGTTTACCCTTCTGATTACTTTTCCAACAGATCTTGTATGTGTTATGTACCTACCTCTGCCACCTGCTTCTGTGCCTTAGGATCAATGCGGCCCAGGAAAATCTGAGTAACATAGGCATCCAATGGGAGTCATTGTCTCTAATGCTCGTGATGATGACTTTGTTGTTCGGCCCTGACTTGCCACACCTATTGTTTCCATACGACGTAAAGCCCATTGTGGTGGTGGCTAAAGAGAATAATGAAGAGAAATACTCCCTCCGTACTTAGCATGAGAAAAGAAATCGAAAAATACAATAGGTAGCAGGTAGAAGTCAGACTACTGTACTAATGAATAATGAACGAGGTATGATAATTACCTAGCTTTATGGGCTCCATCCTCATTCATTACCTCTACTTCTGAATGATTGGGTTAACCTTCAGCGGGCCTGACACTATCATCCGGCTCGAACTCGGCCCTGAAAGGGTACCCAGAGTGATACCGCTTCCTCTCCCCACCCATTGACTGTGTTTCTCCTCGCTCTTTTCCTCCTCGTCGCTCTTGTCCTCCGCTTCAAGTCCGCCTAATTAACTAACAAAACACTCATTGCTCAGCCTGGCTCATTTGGCATTGTCCCATCTCATCGGTCTCTCCTCCCTCCACTCCCTCTCATTTTCCCTTCCTCCACTCTCCTCTGCTACAACTTCACCACCAACCTTCCCTCTGCCATGGGTTTTGGTGACTCTCGATTGCCCTTTGTTCTTTGACATGCAAATTCCTCTCTGTCTTCTCCGTTGTCAATCATCGCTTTGATCTATGGCGTATCGTCTTACATCATCCTTTGTTGCATTCGGCCGCTAACCTGCAGCTTCCACGCTGCTGTCCGCCTCTGTTCCGGATCTCGCAACCGCTCACCTTACCAATCCCTCTCCTACCTCCGAAGTTTGGACGTATCGGCCCTTCGTACGTCAGTTTACTTTCTGACAATCCCCCCATGGCTGCTCTCGACGTTCCCGAAACTGGGTTGTCTCTATTAAGAGATAACCCCGGAAACAATGCCACTGCCAAACCGCCGCAGATCATGCGACTGAATTTGGCTCAGAGTACTCTCGATGAACTCATACAGGGCTTACGGAAAGATCAAACGGCTCGAATTCGATTAGGCAAACACCCGACCCTGTATTACGGTTCCAAAACGCAGCAATTTCACTCCGCACCCGAAAGTCACCGATCCGAGGTCTACGCCGCTAGCTCCGCCGACAAAGAGAACCTATACTTCGCAGGCGTTCTGAGTCACAGGTTAGAGGTTCAACGGGCCAAAGAGGCCACCGCGGCCACCGATCAGGCTTTGGCGAACCTTGAGCAGAGCCTGAATGCTTTCGAAAGAGGGAAGGAATCAAAGAAAACACACATGATTACGAGCATTGATGAAGTCAAGGCTCTGCGAGCGGGTGATCTCAGGTCCAGCACCGGTAGAGAGGCTGCCATCCTGGCTCGAAAGCCGACAACCAAAGTGGAAATAGAGAAAGATCGTCTACTCAAGAATACCGCCAACCGTTCCTTATCCTCGAGCCCAGCGCTTGGTGTATCTCGCTCTCCAGCCCCGATACCGCCCCTCACTCCGACATCCGCACCCTCCTCGCAAAACAAGGACCGCATTCGCCTCGATGCCCTCAAAGTACCTTTTATTCATCTTCTCGCCGTGCGTGCTGTCTCTGCGAAATTTCTTGCACGCCAAACGCGATCGTCCCTTGAAGACTGCTCAGCTCTGGCTCGGAAATATGGCATCGAAAACCGGATTGATCCTGAAAAGTTCGATCTTAGGGACAAGACTTACAAAGAACTGGACGTATGGAGTTTCCCATACCCTTCCCAGGAGGAGCGGCAAGAAGCTATCGAAAATGCCATATCGGCGTTTGATCGGATGCGGATATCGCGCTCGGATAAACTCTGGCAAATGCTGCTCCCCAAAGAAGAACGGGGCAAGGGCAAGTGCTTGTCACGATTGGACCTGCGGACAGGGCCCATCAAAAAGGCTCTCACTCCAAGAATTCAAGTCCATGCATCTGACGATAATGGAAAGGATGGCTATACGACCGGCCACGAGACTGATAGGGCCAGTGCCAACGGCCCGACTCCAAAGCCAGCTCCCAAGTCTTGCACGCCAGCTCCGAAGAAACGGGCCAATGACAAAGATTCTTCTACAAAACGAACAAACCCTGCCAAGAGCAAGACTTCCACGAATAGCACGCTGACGGGACGGGTCACCAAGAAGGCGGAGCGGAAACCAGCATCGAAGACGGACGGCAAGTTCAAATCAGCAGAATTTGTTCAGGAATCGGACGAAGATGACACAGACATGCCGGATGCACCGGTACCCGCACCGGCGCCAGTGAAGGCGAAGCCAGAGCAATCAAAGATCCAGCCTAAACTCAAACAGACTGCGCCGAGCAAAGTCGGAGATCTCTCCCATGCGTCGACGCCCAAGGTGAATCAGTCCGAAGCCCCGCCTTCCAAAGCCGAACCAACTTCCCAGCATGCCACCAAGTCTGTCGCTGCGAAGAGACCACCGTCCAATCGAGCACCGAACCAGAGATCACCTCAAAAACCCTCGCCTCTCGGATCCTCTCCCCCAGCCAATGTATCGGATGCCCAAAGTCGCAGTCGTTCTTCGAGTCAAAACCATACCTCTAGTTCCTCGTCCTCTCCTCTTATCACGCAGTTATCCAAACCGAACAAGGTCACACAGTCGACTGGAGCGATCAAAGTCACCAAGACAACGGAGTCCGTGAATCCTTTGAAGCGCAAGGCAGAGACAGACCGACCACCTGCAATTCAGTCCAAGACGACTGGCCGCACAACCGGCAACCTAGAACACAAGCGGAGGCGAGCAGTCAGTACTTCGAGTGGCAGCACTGGGAGCGCGTCGCCGCCTCTCAGTCGTGAGCTACTGCGCCAGCAATTACGAGAGAAGTCGCAGAAATTCAAGCAGTACTACGCCAAGTATCGTGCACTGCATGATAACATGGCTTCGCATCCAGACCCACCGCGGGCGGAGTTGGAGCGATTGCAACGACAGCATATTCGTCTACAACGAATGAAGAAGGAAATCTGGGACGAGCACGGACGACTCCGGGATGGTCTCTAAAGGCCCGGAGCCAAAGCAGTCCTTTGCATATTGATTGAACGTTGTTACTGAAGTCAGATACAGGTATCTGACATTTGGAGATGCCATTTTTTTGCACGCCTATAATCTTCATACAGCTTATTGCATATGGAAGCATAGTGAAGCAAGCTTTTCTTTTGACCATGCTTCAAGGCGTTTGTGATAATAATTTCTTTGCCAGGCCTCTGCTTTTCATTTTTGATTTTGTATATTTGCATTTTTGAGGCCTATCATATCGTGCTGCAAAAGCATATGCATGTAATTCAGACAAAAGAGGATTGTTGTCACGCAAGGAGTATCTGCAAGGTGCGGGCCTTCAATACAATAACTATTGTTAGAATCAAATAGAAGTATGAAGTTATTTCCGGATGTAAAAAAGTTCTCGGCCACATTTCTGATGCTATTCTCTTGGTGGTACCTGCCGTCTTCTTTTGCTCTTCTACTCAACCCCAAAGAGACCGAAGTAATCGGACTTTTCGTGGCTTCAGACTACTGCATCTAATCCGTTTCGGTTCCAATTCGGGACTGCCAACTACGGGTTATTCAGGAATCCTTCCATTGCTACCCCTCCCTCTAGCCTTCCATCATTGTTCGTCAGATTCATTAGTTTCTTCCGCTTCTAAATGAATGCCGTTCATCATGTCTTACATGGTCTTCCTCCGTTGGAAGATTGTCCCACACCATCTGTAATTCACACGGCCTCCCTTTCACAGCCGTTGAGCCCAACCCGGCCTCTTAGTCCCTTTCCAATACGAGAGACGTGGAACTTACTATTACCCCGGATCAACCTAGAGCTAATCCACTAAACCGCACTGGGCCTAGCTCCACTGTAGCGCACGTGGCTGGCCAAAAGTCCGGGATTGGGATATGTCTGTATTGCAAGGTATTAATTACGCAGTCTCAGTACGGTAATTTTGGTAAGAGTACGCTAAGGTATGGGCTCGACGACGTCATTCTGTGTTCAAGCCAGTCTGAAAAGGGCTTAGAACCGTTTTGTTCAATAGGCGGTGGGCGAGGCGAGGTGAAGCTTTGAAGGTCGGAGTTTGAGCATCAACTTACCTTAAGTGATTGGCGTGGTTCATTCCTCTTAATCTTGTCGCTATATTAGTGAAGAGTATGGTGCGGATGTCGGTTGCCTGCTCTGAGATTGCTGAGACTGTGGATATGTTGATTTAAGTCTCTTTATTTGCCCGAGTTTCGATTAGTCTCGGAGAAGACTCGTTGCAATCGGAGACGAGGACCTGAGGCACTACCTGGACCTGCGAGTGTACTCTCATCTCTGAGACAATACAATCAAGGAGTCCTTTGGGCGGCGGAGTTGATATCACGACAGGAAAGTAATAGTAACTTGCTTTAACCATGTCTCCTGCCAGTGGACGAGTGCCCGGCCAGAGAAGCCCCCACGTGCTGGTGAGCTTTCTTTTTATCTCGCATATTAGGTTCTTCCTATCCCATACGGCATGCTAACTATGGGATTACACGGCGTAATAGGTCACGGACTCGCGCGAGCAACAACCTCAAGCTGTTCGTCGTGGCGCCGGCACACGCTTTATAACCGTCGATAATGTCCTTCAATACGCTTCCGACGTACCCTCCATGCAACAACGTCTTCCGCCCCCGACCACAACACAACCACGGCCACGCTCTCGTCTAGCGTCTGCAGCTGGCGGGTTGATCGGTGCAGGAAGTAGTGCAGGTGGCTCTGGTCCTATTGGAAGTGGAAGTCGGCTGGCCAACACCGCAGCAACGATGGGACGACTTGCCGCGCAACCACGTTTACCTCCGCGTACGACAAAAGTCAGCGAGAAGCTCGTGCTCCTGCCGGAAGCAGAGGGAGTGGAGGGGGAACTGAACGAGGAGGAGGAAGACGAGGTGGACGAGGAGTTCGTCCAGAGACTGGCCAAGGAGAGGAATCTAGATCCCGATTCTTTGCGACAGAGACTCTTGACACAGAAGAGGCTTGGGGGTGATTTCGGCGTCGACAATGACATTGCTCCTTTGCTGGCCGAAGAGGAGCTGCTGCGCCGACGCAAAGTTGCGCCCGAAAAGGCCAAAAGCTACGCAGAGCGGCTACCCAAGGCCCGTCGTGCTGAGAAGTTGGCGCGTGTTACTGCTTATTGCACGGCGCAGGCTTACAAGATGAGTTCCTTGGCGGCTTTTGTCAAGGACAAGCATGGAGGACGGACTAAGCTATACGATGATTGTCTGTATACGGCGTACCATTTACCGCTGTTACCTGGTCTTGAGGGCTATCGGGTGCGAAGCAGTCCGATGGTGAAGAAACCCGGAGGCAAATCCCTTTTGGATGAAGAAATCGAGAGGAACGAGCTTCGCGACCATCATGACGACTATGTGATGGATGCAGAGGAGCATTCCGTCGGCGGCCACCATCAAAGACACGGTTCATTGCGGGATGTTAGCGACTCATTGGAGCTTGATGGCACATTGATCCACAAGTTCGACGAGGACTTACACCACTCGGAGAGTGACACGGTGAGGGATACCAGCAGAGTCTCAGTCCCTGGTCCTCGGCCAGCCCAGGCACCTCTTGCGTCAACAGGGCCCGCACGCCTACCGTACGATGTCGCAGAGATGTTTGTTTTCAGCTACGGCGTAGTGGTTTTCTGGAACCTGACAGAGAGACAAGAAAAGGATCTCCTAGCCGATCTGGCGTTTGCAAACTCCTCCGCGACAGGATCCCGCATACCCCTGGCAACCATGCCCTTGGACGAAGAGGACTTTGAAACAGAAGAATTTCACTTCGAATACTCGACGGAGATTTCACGGCCACGGGTATTCAACGACATGATCACCCTGCGCAGCGGCGACCACATGATCAAACTAGCCATCAGCCACGGCATCGCACAAAGCACCAAGCTCTGCTTCTTTGAAGAAGTCATGGCGCGCCAAATGGCCGAGGCGAAGGACGTCCCGCGCAGACTCGCCATGACGGGCAAGCTGGGCATGAAGCGCGAAGAAGTCTTCCGTATCTTGGGCAAGCTCTTCAAAAGCCGCGTGGAAGTCAATCTCTGTAAGTCCATCCCACTACTACCTCGGCCCCGGCTCCTTTCCTCAAGCTAACAAGCACACTCCGCAATAGCGTCCAACATGCTCGACGTACCCAACTTCTTCTGGGAGAGCGAACCAACCCTCTACCCGCTCTACAACGCCGTCCGTGAATACCTCGAGATCAAACCCCGGATCCAAGTCCTCAACGAACGATGCCGAGTCTTCCTCGACCTCGCGGAGATCCTCTCCGACTCGATCGCCGATAACAGAACATCCCGTGCGTCCTTCTCTCTGCTTAACCTATCTGACTGACGTTCTCACTAACTGGGTCCACTAGATCAAACCTGGATCATCATCGTCCTCATCCTTATCTCCATCGTCGTTACAATCTCCGAGGTCTTCCTCCGCTTTGGTCTGCTCTCGGCCCGCGAAAAGAACACCTCCTCCACTTCCTTTGGCGCCATGCTTTTCTCTCGCGCTTCGAATCCAGCAACCTGCTCGTGTCCTGCGCAGGGTGCGTTTGACATGAATGCAACTGGGGTTGGGACGCTTTATTCCTAGTCGTCTCATCTTAGTTTGCCCGAGTCAGCATTATCCAGGTTTTCCATTATGTCTTGGCCAACATCCATATATCCGATTTCTTAGCATTGACTGCTATGATTTACTAAGGTATCCAGGATCTTGTTAATATATCTCCATCTCTCAAAAGCCATCCGGCAGCTTCGATATTTAATATGCTTCTATCATACATACAGTTGTGTAATGCTCATTTACAAGGTTCCTGTGTTGATTCTTTGACAAAGGAAAAGGTACAAAGGAAATTCGAGGGGTAAAACGAGACAAGCGATAGGGGGAATAATGTATCAACAACACAGACAAAATTAGGTATAGGGGGTGATGCAAGGGGATTGAAAGCACGCAAAACCAGCAGTATCGATGACAACACAGATAGAAAACAGATACCCGAATTCCAGAACCCCGTCCTACCTAGCCATGAGCCATCCAGCTCTCTATTGATGCTTCATCCTGGTCGTGTCACACATTAAACAGAAAGAAACGAATAGAGAACACAAATCAGAGCTAGCCCGGACTCCTCCCAGCGCGCTTATGCAAGGCCTTATCAATGCAAAGTAACAGTGAACAGAAAGAACACAAATCTGCAAAGGGAGAGAAGGATGATTATGATGAGGGATAAGAGCAAAAACAAGACCAAAAGGAGACGGGTGAAACGATAATGCAGAGCCATTTAGCTTCTGCTAGGATTACAAGAGGAAAAAGACGGATGGGACAAGTGACAAAGGAAAAGCGGATATCCTGTGCGCAAGAGTCATTTCGTTGCGCAGCAAGGAATCGATTCGATAAGACCGAACCAAATGCCGGTAGATGACTGCTGTCAAATACGGGAATTCCCGCATTACACGGGAGTGGACCACCCGTTGTCCCCCAATCTCGGCTTCAGTTCGTAGTTCTCAGGCTCAGTGCTCGTTGGCCGCCTAATGGTCGAGTTGGGGAAGTACATGTGCGGGGGCATGGAGCTGGGATAAGCTGGACCACTTGGCTCAGGGTAGTTGAAATCATTCACAGATCCCGGAGACGGAATGCTGCCGTGAGAGGGCGAGGCCCAGCCCAGACTCGTCATGTGCGGACTGCCGCTGACGCTGTTGGGCCGGTGATCACTATTAGCAGGCGGCTCAAGCGGCTGAGGGGGGGCGTAGCCAGAGGGGTGCGACGTCATAGATGGTCGTTGGTGCGGCGCACCGCTGAAGCTCGAGAGAGACGGCGACGTGGCTGTCGGCGAGGAGCGAGGGCTGGCCTGCGGGAAATCCCCCCGAACATGAGGAGGGATAGATCCGTTCCCCATGTAGTAGTCGCCAGTGGAACGAGACATGTTCAGAGGTGGCAAGTCACCGGGAGGTGGAATGGACACAGGATGATGCGCAGGGGAAGGCGTCGAGTGAACAGAGGCGTGCTCGGAGAAAACCCCATCACCAGGTGCCCTTGCTCTCTCTTTGTTCTGTCTCAGGTTGGCTTCCGTCTCTGCGGCGGCCTCCTCAATGGTTCCCGTGTGATGGTTCTGATGACGCGTCAAGGTCGTGCGTCGAGTGAACGTCTTTTGACAGTTCGCATATGGACACTTGTACGGCCGTTTTCCCGAATGTATTCTGCGGTGTCTGGCCAAGGAAGACGAATCGCTGAAAGGCTGTCAAGATATTCGAGTCAGTAAACGGTTTATCAGCTACGGAATAAAGTATGTCTGCATACCTTGCCGCATCTCTCGCACATATGCGGCTTCTCTCCAGTATGAACGCGAGAGTGCACAGTCAAAGCCGAACGTTGAATGAATTGTTTCCCACAGCCGGGCCAATCGCAAGCGTGCGGTCTTATCCCTGTGTGGATCCGCTCTATAATGTGGTCAGTGGCTCGATGTTTACTTTTCGCATGTATTTCCATGGAAATCTTACCATGTCTAGCGAGGTCACTACGCCGAGCGAACCCCTTGCCACAAGTCGAGCAGTGGAAGGTTTTCGGCGGAGGATCTGCCCTTTGGGGCGTTACACCACTGGGAATTTGACCACTGCCGGTATAAGCTCCAGGGCCGTAAGGATTCTGCAGAACCGGCATTCCACTATTAGGTTGTCCATGAGGCGGATACCGCATGTCTTGGGCCATGTTGGGCATGGGGTTCAGCGGAGCGTGCGAAGGATATGACAAGACTTGTTGATCGGAAGCTTCCGGCACACCAGGCTCAGGCTTCATCTTGGGTGATGAGGAAGGACCCAGGTTGTGGTGCACAAACTGCTGTTGAAATTGAGCTTCTGCAGCGATAGCGGCAGTAGACCCTTTTCTGTTCAAAATAGTTGTGATGTCCATGACCCGACCCAGCAACGAGCTGAGAAACGGCGGTCAAGGACACTTGAAAATGTCCTGTTCTAAATTTCCCGATGAGCAGCCGCAGATTCGTCTCTACGGCTTTTGCTGAGTCTGACGAGGTGCGTGGATATGTTGAGCAGCTAGAGTAAACGTAGTGAGTGGCTTCCGTGGTGCCGTTATGTTGTGAATGAAAAATCGTTTCAAACTTGGATTGCGCGCTGATTTACCAAAATATCCGTCAGTAAAGTGAACGCAAAGAACCCGGGAAAGAATGCGCTGAATCCAGCTAGATGGACAAATACAACAGCTGACACATCTTGAACGTGACAATAGAGAGGATGTTCAAGAGAACTCACCAGATGCCTCCTAAGCTGCCTGATAGGGGCTTTTCCTCCGACCACGGCGCGATGAGAGAACAGTCCAGACCCGTCGAAGTCGTACACTGGAATGCGAGCAGAGTGTAGGACGGCCGCAAGTCGTGAATTTCCTGGCGCGAGAGAACAGACTCCTTGTTCTTCTGAGCGGCGTGATATTCTCACGAGGTTGAGCGTCCTTCGCAAATTGCGAGCTCTGGAGCTCTGACTGAATCGATCAAGGAAGACTGAGACACTAGTTCATGCCCCCTCGGAGATCTGCAAACACGAGGAAATCGCGAATACCCGCGAACTCGACAAACCAGGGATTCCAAACTTTGTGACTCTGTGCCAAACTTCAGAATGCTGCACGCTTCTCGCTGTGTCCCGACCTACTCGGGTCGGTGCCGGTAGAGATTAAGAGGACGTAGGTGATTTTCCAGCGACAGACAGGTTGTATTCGGTTTCGAGCGCGTCTCAAGCGAGGAGGGTCTCGAGGACCTGAATACCGGAATGATCGTACTGCGAGGCGAAAAGTCACTAATGTCTGAGAGTGTACTGTTAGCAGGTTGAGCTTTCATGAAATCCATAGTAAATATCTGCGCTCCGAGAGCACCAGACAGCTGCGAAAAAACGGTTGCAAAACATTGTTTGCTGAGCATTCCAAAGAACCGAGTCTCTCAATCTACACAAAGTATAGAGAGGGGAATCAATGTCCGCAGAACGTTCACAGCTTCCAACCATTCTCCCCAAACTGAACGACTTCCGATGCGTCAAGCGATCTCAAGCGCTTCAAGAGCGAGTCGAGCGGTTGAGCAAAGAGTCTCATATCACAAATGAGGCAGACGAGATAGCGGGGACCATGTAGAGTCCCGGCGAAACAACGAGGGGGAGAACATACGGGATAAGCAAACTCGGGAGAGGAAAAGCAAGTCGAGCAACCAGCGACAAAGAATCCGTATCCAGTGACGAGCGAAAATGGAAGAGAAGATCCTGTGCTGAAGCTGGCCGCGGATGGATAGGCTGCGAGCGGTGGCTTGGATGGAAACTAGAGGCCGAGGGAGGGAAAAACAACTGCGACCAGAAAAAAAGTTCCGTGGGTTCGAGATGATGTCGACGGGACCTCTTCCGCTTGGGAAACAGTCACCGTTGGTCGGGCAGGACAAAGGTGCTTTGACGCTTCGATGGATGATGGACAGTGAGAGAAGGGAAATACGACCAGAAGATTTTGATGATGATGATAGTGGTACCAAGCAACAGCAATAATAAAGGGACGACTACCGGAGATCGAGTACCTACTTAAGTTATGATGGAAGGCTTCCAGAAAGACGTTCTTCGGCACCATACCACTACCGTATGGCCTTTTTTTAATTTATTTAACAGTTTAATCTAGTACGTGATTTTTAATTGCGATGATTATTATTAGCAAGTATTCACCGCGTTTTATTTCAGTAACAAATCATTTATTTGATCGGGTTATTATTATTATTTATTAGTTTACTGACCTGCTACTGGTTCAGGACTGAGCAGCCTAACTAGACTACGGACCCTACTACTGGTATCAGCACGTTTCCTCTAAAACGCCGCCCCCAATGAGGCCTTAGTGGCTCCCGTTGAACTTGAACTGTTTGAACTTTGAGCAGGCCCCCGAAAGGAAGCTGGCGGCAGCAGAAGGTCACCATCATTTTCCCTCGGCTCCACAACCTGGCCTTCCCCGTCCCCTTGGCTGTGCGAGATTCGGCTCTGGTGGTGGAGACCGTATTCAGACTGGTGCCGATCTGTACGAAGAGTAAGGACTAACAAGCGATGTGTAAAGATTGAAGACGACACACAAAATGATCCCTGATGTCTTTTCTGGCACTCCTGTGATGCCTCAAGATTTCAATCTCGTTGGCTCATTAATTACTCCGTGAATGGGTGTTTCTCCATCCCTCCTAGTTTATCAAATCTCCTATCGAGACTCCTCGTAAGCTCAGGGATGGGCCTGCAAGGTTCATGACGCAACAGGGCCAGCGCTTTCGGCTATGATTTCTTTCTGATTCAGGAACCGAGACGAACCAGTGCATGGCCATGGCCCCCTGAGAAGCTTACTTTTTTTACTGGCTACCCCGGAATCTCTTAAGAGCATCATTCTGCAAGGCTGACCTGCAGAGAGAAAAAGGAGATATCAATAGCAAGTGGGTGGATAATACATACGCCATATACGATCACTATTTTGAGACACTTTATGGCTCCGTAATTATTCCCCTGCTGCAAAGACTACTCGCCATCGTGCGACGCATGGAACCTTACAAGTGCAGACGTACTAGTTTACTACCGGCAATGAGTGAGGATCAA